CACGTGTGACCGCTCGCGTCGTCCTTGTGCTAAAAACCTTTTCTCTCTTTTAAATAAAATTACAAAAATATGTTTTAAAGGTTAAGCACACGTGTGACCGCTCGCGTCGTCCTTGTGCTAAAAACCTTTTTCTCTCTTTTAAATAAAATTACAAAAAATATGTCTTAAAGGTCGAACACTCGTGAGATCATCCGCATCGTCCTAGTGTTCAATACCTTTCTCTCTTATTTACATAATTTTAAATAATGGTATGAGTACTCGTGTGACCGTCCGCGTCGGCCTAATGCTCATTACCTGCTTTTTCTCGAAAATATTAAAAACATAAAATCTTCAAATTAAAAAAAACATCTGCTTTTTTCAAGCAACGAACGACCTTTTGAAGCCAGAACTACGTGATCCTTGATTCTCCATCGAAAGTGGAGATACGTAGGAGCAAGGCTAGCCCTTGTCAGGTTCACTTTCCCAAAAATTCCAAAATCATTTCAAAACGAATTTTCAATCATTTCAAAACAAATCTTTCAATCAATTTCTCAAACAAATCTCTCAAACATTTTCAAAAAGAACTACGTAACCCTGATTTCTCATTTTGAATGAGAATACGTAGGAGCAAGGTCAATCCTTGTCGGGCCCAAAACACTAAAAAATATGTTTTGTTTATTTAGAATTTTATTTTAGGGGATAGTTAAACATTTTGAAAACCACATCATATTTGTGCATTTAGTTAAAGGTACTGCCTTAGGGCAGGCGTTGTGGGGTGCTAACACCTTCCCCACGCGTAACCGACTCCCAAACCCAATCTTTGGTTTTCGTGGACCGTGTTTTATCGTTTTATGGTTTTTCCGTAGTTTTCCATAATAAACTATGGTGGCGACTCCAAATCTCTTTTTAAAACCCGTTTCTTTTTTTTTGGATCGTCGTCCCGTCGCGATTCCGGTTGCGACAGTTATCTAGCAGGCAAAAACTCTGACAAAAAATAAAATAAAAAAGAACATCCCTCTACTGCTTCGGTTGCATTTGAACTGAGGCAAAAACCAACACCTTTTTGCCTCGGTTCTTAACCGAGGTAAAAAGTGGTAGACTTTTTGCTTCGTTTGTATATGCCTCGGTTTGGGAACCACCTTTGTTATCTCTTTTAACCTTTTTTTATCACCATTGCATTTGATCCATCCATATATGTTTTTTCTCCCATGAAAAAGATGATTTTTGTTACTTTATTTATAGTCGTGGTGACTCTTCAACAATGAACTTTTTATCTATTGGATGTCAACAATACATCCCCTAATGGCGATTTGCAATAAGAGATTTACATTGAGCAATCTCCTAAATTTGTTGCTCAAGGAAGTCTTTTGGATTGATATTTCATCTTTTATGTCTAAATCATTAACAATTTGGTGTTACTTGAGTACAAAAGTATATATTTTCTCTAAGTCTTTGTGAATTATATTAGTAACAAGCTTGATATATATGATTTGTATGCACCAACTTACGAGGAGTGTTAGATATATTATATTTATATTTTATCTTTAGTTAGTTTGTTATTATTTCTTATTTGTATTTTAGATTTAATCCATATTTTTTCTATTATAAATAGAATAATATTTATTGTATATATTCCACACAAAAGGAAGATTAATTTTATATATAGTTTTCACTATATTTAACAATATTTAATACATAATTATTCTATTAATTAAATGTATATTTTAATAAATCATTCAATTTTTACATATTAAATAATTTAGTTTGTTTTAAAAAATTGTTTTAAGATTAAAGTAATAATAATAATAATAATAATAATTAAATTTAACTCAACAAAACAAAAAGATATATAACAAAAATATGTATTCAAGTTGAATCTGTATGGGTTTTGTGTATAATAGAAATTATATTAATGCGTTATGTGTAGTAAGGTGGCGTACACCACATAAACGACCGTCATTTCAATTTGGTTGTTGCACGTGAGTGGTTGTTCGCACATGCGCTACTTGTCGTGTAAAACGTAGACTGTAGCAACTTTAGGTTGGAACATAAATGGCGTGAGCCTACAGTTGGATGACCTTAACTTCTCAGTTGACTTACACCCTTTCTTGTCATTATGTCAACAGAAACAATTAAGAACCATTTTCCTTCTGGGACAAGCCTTCAAATCCCGTTTCTGGTATGCACAAAAAATTGAAAAATATATACTGGAAACACAAAAGTAAAGATGACAAATTACCAGTTTTTAACATAAAATAATAATTTTTTTAATATTTTTTTCAATGATCACTTATTTATGAATTAGATAAGATTTATGTAATAATATTATGGTACATCGAATAATCTCACATCATGTAAAAAGTGGTGTAGATCAATCATAAATAGTCAAATTTAATAAAAGTGATGATTCTATCGTATAAACCCTTTACGAAACAGCATTTATTTACCAAAATTATAAAAAGTTATGAACTTCTTTTTTCCTCATCTCAATTCATTTTTTTCCCAACTAAGATTGAGGCAGAAGCTATAGTGTGATTAGGATACAAACCTAAGCTAAACAAATATTACATAGTTGAAGCACCAAGTATCAAAGTGTCATGAACCTCATACTCAAGTAGCAGTCATGCATCACTTAGATCAATAAAAGAGAAAGGTTTTTGAGAAAATAAAATAAAACACCATGGGAGATTCCCTTTTGAAACCTTCCAAATGGAAACCTACACCATGCCGCTTTAGAAGGGAAGATCCAAATACAAGATACCATTGTGAAACTATGTAGATTTCTCTATGCTTAAAGTAAAAATAATAAACATTTTAAAAGTATATGCACATAGAAGATCAGTTGGCACTTAAATAGAAATTTCAGCACCAAAGCTTTCCTCCAACTATGGTCTTATCTTACAGATTTAGAGGATCGTTCTCTTTTACACCAAGCTAATGTTGAGACACTAGTGATTCATCTTTCACCAAACACATTTGAATGGCTGATAGAGAAATTGAACCCTCCTCACACTACCACCCAGGTCACTCTTTCCTCATCCACTTTATCAATTTCCTAGGCTACAAGACAACAAAAAAAAGTGCTAAATAATAAGATATCAGAAGTAATACCCTCTCTAATTTTTCTTTCAATTCGTGATCTTTTTTAAATGCACAATATTTTCATGAATCCAGATTTTCAGAAGGCAAAGGCTAGAAAGGTTCTATTTGTATATATTCTCTAGAAAATATAAAGAGAACTATCAAATTCATTCTTTGGGACAATTCAAACAATGTTGAATATTGCTGGTGTTGCAGGACATAACATTGCTGCAGATGATGAGGTAAAAGAATTAATTGCAGTAGGTGTTTCAACAACAACAGATGAAGATGAACAATCACTGCTCCTGCTTAGCCGTTGGAAATGGTGGTTTTTAGTAGTAATCAACGTAGCTATACTCTTGATGGGTCAATCTGGTGCAGTCTTGCTAGGGAGATTCTACTTTGACCAAGGAGGAAAAAGCATATGGATGGCAACACTAGTACAATCTGTGGCTTTTCCAATCCTTTTCTTTCCACTTTTCTTCTTCCCTCACTCAGAAAACCTTTCTGTCACCACTGACCTCACCATAAACTGTTCTACTCACACTGTCATCATGGTTTACATCCTCTTGGGTACCCTATTAGTTGGAGATAACTTGATGTACACAATAGGGCTTCTATACCTTCCTGTATCTACTTACTCCCTTATCTGTGCATCCCAACTTGCTTTCAATGCCATATTTTCCTTCTTTATCAATGCTCAAAAACTCACCTTGTTAGTACTTAACACAGTGGTTTTTCTCACCATATCAGCTTCACTTCTAGCAGTTCATTCTGACTCCTCAGAGAATGAAACGATGAACGTTACCGGGAACAAACACATGGTTGGTATTTCGTGCACTATCGGTGCATCAGCTGGGTATGCCCTTTTGCTGTGCCTGATGCAGGTATCATTTGAAAGGGTGTTGAAGAGGGAAACATTTTCTGTTGTCCTAGACATGCAGATTTGGACATCTTTTGTTGCTTCATGTGTTTGCATAGTGGGAATGTTTGCCAGTGGGGAATGGCAGGGTTTGAAGGATGAAATGAGGAGATTCAAAGCAGGAAGAGAGGTTTACATTCTGACCCTTGTTGGAACTGCTTTGGCTTGGCAGATTTGTTCTGTTGGAGTTGTGGGGTTGATCTATTTGGTGTCTTCGTTATTCTCCAATGTTATGAGCATGCTGAGCTTACCACTTGTTCCTGTTGCTGCAGTTCTTCTATACCATGAACATATCGATGGTGTCAAGATTGCGGCCATTTTGTTGTCAATCTTCGGTTTCAGTTCTTATATTTACCAAAATTATTTGGACGATACCGAGTCCAAAGCACCAGCAGGAATTCATCATACTGCTACCCCAGAAATCTCCATTTCCTGATAGATGTTGAAGATGTTTAGTTTTTCACTACAGCTTTTGGCAAGAAGAAATGAATTTTTGAAATTTCAAAGTTTGATATGTTTTCTATATCAAGGAATTGTTATGGAATATTTATATCGGTTTAGTGAGTTACTAAAATTCTAAGTGATCATCTTTAACGGAATAAAGTTAGAAACACTCAACTTGTGTGTATATCATTTTTAACTTTATTTTTCAATTAAAATTAGAATGGTATTCTAGAAATTAAGGATGACTATTTACAAAGAAGAGAAATGTACTTCCAAAATGAATTGAAAACTTCGAATCAAACTGAAATTAGGAATTTACTTCTATTATGGTACGTAAAGAACCAACAGTTTTTCTATTTTCATAGGACTTAACTAAATTTTAAATATATCATAAATTATGTATTTTTATTTGAATGTTTATATAATAATTTTTTTATTAAATGTCTAAAATATGTTTTACTTTTGTTTAAGAATTATGGTGTTTAATTTTATCCTTAACATACTACTGTGACCACTTTTTTTGGTCTTCTTGTCTTTTCAACTCGATCAACCTTTTCTTTCTCTTTCAATTTGGCCGTTAAATCACTCTTACACTTTTACAAAAAGATAAATAAGAGTAACGCTATTTGATGATAAAATCAAATAACAGAAAAAAAAAATACTTAATTAAAAATACAATATCCAAATTTTTTAGTTATTTAAAATTTAATTAAAATTTTAAAAATAATACTTTTATAATTAGAATAATATAAACAAAAAAATTGATGAATGATTATATGGTTAGATAAGGCATCATATAGTTTTACACTATGGTAGAAAAAAGTTTTGATATTGGTTACTGTGGTTATTATATCTCGTTTTACCAATCGAGGTAAAATTGAAATTTTGTCTTATTATTAATTGAGGCATAAACCTCATTATCCAACCTTAATACAGAAGAATCAAGGCACAAAAAATAATTAAATAGATTTAAACTTTCGGATCATTTTTATATTTATACAGGAACATTAAGTAAGTTTATATTTGTAACTATTTCAATTGTGTTATAATAGGTGAAAAATTGAGTCAATTTTATCTGTCTTTATATTACATGAAATTTTTTATTTAAATTAATTGTTCGTGGCACAAAATTAAATTATTTAAAAAAATTTATTTTATAATATTTTATCGCCACGAGCACAGTAGCAACGCTGCTACCGTCGCTGGAGAGAAACACCATTATTGCGACACCAAAAATAGATCCTCCACGCCGTGAACCAGGACCGAACCAGATCGCATGACAGAGGCGACGAGAAATCGTCGCGTCTCCAGCGGCTACCGCTGCGCTTGCGAGAACTCCATCGCAGAAAAACCAGACCACACGGCGAGGCCAGTCCACTACCGTGACGGAGAATGCGAAGGGAGAAGAAGCTGTCGCGCTTCCACCACAACACTAGAAGTAAAAAGAAGAAGCTCGAAAAACAGTGGTGGCAGGATTAGGGTTCTAGGTTCGCGAAGAAGATGAGGCAGAAAGGGGATTTCAAATTTTTAGGGTATCTGGTTGCCGATTTGGATTCAAAACCCACCAAGAAATAAAACAATGGGAAAATTTTTCCAAACTGACATGAGAGGTCTGACACACTAATTGACTTACTATTAGGAACAATCATGTCAATTTCCAAGGACAGAGTGAAGTCATCTTCGTTGCCCGATAGCTGGAAACTGCAAGAAATATTTGCTACTAGGGTTGTGCTTGGAAGTTACTTGGCACTGATGACTATCATATTTTTCTGGGCAATGGAAGAAACTGATCTCTTCCCTGTAAGAATTATTCAACTGAAATAAGTTCAAGACCTTTTCTTGGATCAAACAAATAACACCCCTTTGACTGTTCTTGCAGGAAAAATTCGGAGTTAGACACCTGACTCATGATGAAATGATGTCTTCTTTGTATTTGCAAGTTAGTATAGTCAGTCAGGCTCTGATATTTGTTACGCGTTCTCGAAGCTAGTCCTTTGTTGAACGCCCTGGAATGCTGTTAGTTATTGCTTTCGTTATGGCTCAGCTGGTAAGCATAGCACTGTATGCTTTCCAAGGACTGGAGCTTTGCAAAGGTGAAAGGAATTGGTTGGGGTTGGGCAGGAGTCATCTGGCTATACAGTATTGTCTTCTACTTTCCCCTTGACCTCATGAAGTTTTCCATCCGTTACATATTGAGTGGCAAGACTTGGCTAAACCCCCTAGAAAACAAGGTATATATCTATTCGTATGTTAGCTTTCTTTGTGAAAGCTTTCATGGCATTGATTTGAATTGGTTGTTTCAAAATCTGTCAGACTGCCTTCGCAACCAAGAAAGACTATGGTAAAGAGGAGAGGGAAGCTCAGTAGGCTCATGCTCAGAGTAAATTTAGATAGAGTAAATTTTTATTAAATATAAAATTTGAATATTTGGTGTTTCGTCGGCCGGTGGTGGCGCCGGTGGAGCAGCGATGGGGAGGACGTGGAGGAGAAGTTTCTCACGCCTCTAAACTTTAAATGTTAGGTGAAATTGAGATTATAAATTAAATCACAATATGACATGTAATCTTAAAAATAATTACAGCTCAATGTATGTTATCATAGTTAAAATTGACTCAATTTTTTAAATATTATAATTCAATTAAGACAGATATAAATTAACATTTAATAGACAGGATAAAATTGACTCAATTTTTCAAATATTATAATTCAATTAAGACAGTTATAAATTAAGATTTCTGTATAAATACGAGAACCAGATTTAAACCTAACTAAATAATAAAAAGTAAAAAGAATAGGAAATTATTTTTTAATTATATAAACAACTAAAGCATAATATGATTAAAATAAAAAATTATTTATATTAAAAAAAGTTTAATCCGATTATCATTGGTAATCAATTATCATAAAAAAAATAATTTTTAAAATAATTTTTAGAATAATCGATTACCCATCGTGATAATGAATTATCAATTATAATTGTAAATAGACTCTTCAGTTTTTTTGTACGTAAGGTCCTTTTTCTCGAATCAAATTTCTTATGCCAATTTCTCTATCCTGTCCTTTTTACTTTTATTGTAGTTATTTATAAGGAGTCAAATTTATTTATAAGAAAGGAAGTTTTTAAAAAGCATAGTTTTAATAAGTATACCAATTCACTTTTCCTTTTTGGTTTTGTCTACCCCTTAATATTATAGTGTGAGATTCTAAAAGAAACTAATTTAGATACTAATTTACAAAATAATTATAATTTTTTATTTATAATAAAAAATAATTTAAATACTAATAAATTTAGTTTATAAAATAATATCTAAATTAACCCATGTTAGTTATTATTGTAGTATCTTAATTTGGTTGTTATTTAACAAATTTGTTACAGTGATTAACACTTGAACTCGAAGTGAGAAAATCAAATGAGAATCTTTTAAAATTAGTATATAATGTTTATTAAATAATCAAGCAGTAATATAAAATGATTTCACATACATTAAAAAGTTAACAAATATCAAGTGATAATTACACATTCAAAATATATTAACAATTCTTAATATATAGAAAATTTTATAAAAGTTTAATAGTTATACGTTATTTTATCAAATTTTGTACACCGACAATGGATCAAATACTGTTGCATAATTGATATAATAATTATTACATAATGAAGGAACTTTCTTCTGTCATTTCCATAATTTTCTTCTTGCATTTTTATAATTTTACTTTTTCATTTACCTCTTTTAAATTGTAAAATTTGAAAGTTGTTTTTTTTTTTTAATTTTTAAATGGTATAATTTGAAAGTCAAAAATAACTTTCGAATTACGTAATACGAAAGTTATTTCTTTTAAAAAAAATAGATTTCTCAATTGAATAATTCAGAAGTTAGAAATGATTTCTGTATTATATAATTTAGGGTTAAATGTATTTTTGTCCTTTAATTTTCATTGAAAATTGAAATTTGTCCTTTTTTGAAATTTTGGATCAATTTAATTCTTAAACTTTAGAAATGTGTGAATTTAGATATTTTAATTAAATTTTATTAACTTTATTTGATGTTTCAAACGCATAAATATTAAAATATCAAATAAATCTAACAAAATTTAGTTAAAAGATCGCTGAAAATTAAGGGACCAAAAACGTATTTAATCCTATAATTTAAGAAACAAATTATTTCTCTTGAGAAAACGTGTCATCAACAAATAACATTAGTGTGAAAACTCCAAAATAATAGAAAAATCACAATCCTTAATATTATGTAAAAAATTTACACAATCCATAGACAACTTCCACGTCTTTAGACTCCAAATACACTTAATTCTTTAAAGTAAAAATTTCACCTAAACTTCACAATACTCCATTTAAATAAGAAACTGTCATATAAATCTTAATCCATATAAAGTGATTTTTAAAGTTTAATTTTGACTTAAACTCTGTAAGATTGTTATTATCTTAAAATATTAGGGTATATTCTATGAGATTTGATCCACGCTACCGACAGAAGTCTTCCTATTAGAAAAACACAGAAGCTTTTATTATGTATATTATTCATACACGCAAGAAAAAGTCCTAATAAAAGTGATAACAAAAGCTAGTGAAACTCTAGGAGGCTTATAAGCCAATAATTTTCAATGGTGATTTTTTCTTCCTTCTCCAATGATTTATTTCTGGTTGGCTTAGCGAATTCCCACCCACCCTCCAAATTTAATGGAAAACAAATGGTGAAGAAAAGGGTGACAGCATGGAATCTTTCACATGATCATTCAATGTTGCAAAAACACTTTTACCATTTTTGTCGCAGACCCACCTCGCCTACTTTTCATTTGCTGTCCATTTCAACACACTCTTGTATTCTCAAGAAAACAAGGAACATTCTGTTAAGAAATGTTATGTCCAGATCAATCAGATAAGTTGTAAATATTATATTAAAAAGTAAACTTTAAACCTAATTTAATCTCATAAAATTGATTTGTATTTACTTATATATTATAAATTGATTTTATCTCTGATTGATACGAGACTTTCAATTCATTCCAACAGAAGAATCAAAGTAATATGGTTAGGGTATGAACAAATCATTCGCTTTTGGTCTAGAAAATTTCACTGTGAGCTACACTAAAGGCATTGACTTTGCTGATGCCACAAAAGTCCAACAAGGTTTTCACACAATGTTTTTTTCTTGGTTGAAAAGATTAGGGAGGAAAAATATTTGCCTTTGCCTAAAGAAGAAAAAGTCTCAGTAAGAGAAAAGGTTTGCAGAAGTGCTAAAATTTATCTCACCTCACCTCAAATAGAAAAGTGATCACCAACATTAGTTGACATGAATGATAGTGACGTTTTTTTTTACTAAGTTATTCAGAGAATTATCTATTTTGTGTGTTCTAGTAATGATTATACCATAATCAATCCCTTGAGATTGTGTTCTCACACAATAATACATACAATTTTGACAGATTTTATCCTCTTACCTATGCTTTCCATGAAAAATATATGCTAAATAGGTGTCATGACTCATCTCATCACAACCATCGAGCTCACAATATATTGTTTAGACAAGAGAGAACATAATGATGGACACACAAAATTAGGTGGGTTCTTCGTGTGAAACTTTATAATCAGATATACCTTATTTTCAAAAGGGTGTTTGATACTTTTTATTTTTCCTCTTACCATCATCATCATCATCTTCACTTTCATCTTCATCTTCAGTGATCTTCCTTTCTTGGTTAAATTTAGGCTCCACCATTCTAGGATGTAATATGGCTTGTGAGGAAATAACTCTGAACTTTCCTTGCTTGTTTCTCTCCTCTGAACATTCTGAACTGTTACAGTATACAACTCTGCGAAACTCTGGCTCGTCCAGTGTGTGAAGATGGAAGCTATGTTCATCTTCAGCAGCAGTCACAATACCAGAAATTGAAGATTTGAAGTGATTCTTCAAAGAAAACAGAATACTACAAAATATTACCCCAGAATTGCTGTGAGATTTCCTCCTCTATACACATGAGATTTGTTTCATTTACGAAAAAAATGCTAGTTCTGCATATTTTATGCTGCAACTTTTCAACTTGTCCTCATATGCCAAATTCTGCAAATTAGCAATGACAAATCCTGAACTAATCTTTGGCATTAATTGCCTATTCTGATTTTCTACATCCTCAGGTTCTTAAAATTTAATCAGAAGCTTATTGCATAAATGAGGAAGGCATTGATTATAGCCTGTTCCATAACCATATGCTTCATCGCTTTTGTGATATCCAAGATCGTTATTTCAGTTCTCCTCTACAAAAGATGGAGAAGAAAACAGATGATCCATGAAGAAGGTTATCCAGGTATGGAGGAAAAAGGGGATGTTTTCTGCTTTAGTTTTTGCAGACAAAAATCTGAATTGATTGCATAATACAGGAGGAAAGATAGTTATATTTAGGTCCTCAGTGCTTAAATCTCTCACAGCTGATGCGATCTTAAAGAAGACACAGAAACTGAGCAACAAGGACATCATTGGATCAGGTGGTTATGGTGTGGTCTATGGACTAAAACTAGATGAATCCACAGCCTTGGCAGTAAAAAGACTAAACCGTGGAACTGCAGAAAGAGATAAAGGCTTTGAGAGAGAGTTGCAAGCAATGGCAGACATAAAACACCGCAACATTGTGACCCTTCATGGATATTACACTGCACAACACTACAATCTTCTCATATATGAGCTAATGCCCAATGGAAGTTTGGACTCCTTTTTGCATGGTACGCATTTGTTTCTTTCTAACATTATACTGAGACATTAGGTAGAAGTCAAATAGAAGGAATTTATGGAATGAACAATTTTTTATGCATTATAGATTTTACTATTGACTCTCTTTTATTCTCATATTTTCTCTAACAGTATTCTTAGTTAAAATTCAAGACTAGGATGGAATGGTTTAGCTCATCTGTTACTAAGTAGTATTGGAATCTAAGTGTGAGTCTAAGTCTCACATTAGATAGAAATAAGAAAGAAGAAGATAAAAAATCCATCAACTCATTGCCTTAAGGTTTTGGATAGAGAGTGATGTCAATTCTTATATGGTTGGGCTCATATCTCATTGATGTTTGTATCTCTCCGGTGAACCTTTTCCTCGACAGACCCAACAAGTAGTATATCACGATTGAGGAAGCACAAGTCTCTTATGTTGTTTTATGATTTTGGAATGTTGTGATAATTGAGCATAGTTTTCTAATTGCAAAGTCCAAAGTAATGCAGGAAGATGGAGAGACAGGAAGGTTTTGGATTGGCCAACCAGATATAGAATAGCTGCAGGTGCAGCTAGAGGAATATCATATCTTCATCATGATTGCATCCCTCACATTATCCACAGAGACATCAAGTCAAGTAACATATTGTTGGATGAAAATATGGATGCTCGAGTTTCTGATTTTGGATTAGCCACTTTGATGCAACCAAATAAAACTCATGTCTCAACATTTGTGGCCGGAACTTTTGGATACTTGGCACCTGGTATAGACTGAAGCAAGCCAAACATAGTTTTTACATTTTAAACTACCTGTGTTTCAAATTCATTATGTTTTTTTTACCTGCTTGATTATTGTTTGCATGCAGAATATTTTGATACTGGAAGAGCAACACTCAAAGGGGATGTTTACAGCTTTGGAGTTGTTTTACTGGAGCTTTTAACTGGGAAGAAACCCAGTGATGAAGCATTTATGGAAGAGGGAACAATGCTTGTCACATGGGTAAGAAAAAAATTCTTATATATTTCCTTCTATGAATTTATTCATCAAACTATATAGCTCTTAATTTTTTAATTAAGTATCATATTTACTTTTAGCTCTATCATTGTGAAACTAGTATCAGGCAAAGCATATTTTTCCATTTAAATTTGAAAACAAGAAATTATATGCTTTAAGAAATGAACTTTAAGTCTAACTCAATCTCATACAACATGCATGTAAGGTAAGGTTTGCCTCCACTTATATACTTTAAATTGGTTTTATTTTTAGTTGACGTGAAATTTCCAACAATGTGAAGATTAAAATCACAAAAAAATTATAAGAAAATTGGAGCTTTGTTTGAAGCATTGGCCTTGAGTATGAATTGCATTAATCTATCGAAAAGTTGAAATCATAAATATATAAAGGTGATAGCATTATCTATTGTGTAACTGTAACTGAAAGAACAACATAAATAACATATAATCCATTTTACTTGCTTTTATTCATACCTTTATTACCAAGGACTTATAAAACACATTCTATTAAATATTAAAAGGGGATGTAATTCTTATGTTAGCTACCAAGTTTAATTAGAAGAGTAATTTGAAGATCATATTAAATTCAACCCAATTTTGGAATGAGTACTTACTTTCGAGAAAATCATTATTATTATTGAAACAGGTGAAGGCTGTTGTTCGACAGAAGAAGGAGGAGTTCGCCCTTGATAGTAGCTTAGGAACTTGTTCAATGGAAGAGGTAAATAAGGTGTTCAGCATTGCAATGATGTGTCTTGAACCAGATCCTTTGAATAGGCCAACCATGGCTGATGTTGTCAAAATGCTTGACAAAACAGAAGTAGATAAACTTGTTACAGAATCCTGATTTTTATATTAAAACCATCACTCTGAACTGTGGTGTTTCTGGAAAACCATCTTACAAGCGCTGGAGGTGCTAGACTACATGTTAGATGTTGCTTGGGAGTGTCATGCTCAAGAGAGAGAGGGAATGGAGGACCATAAAAGAAAATGTATAAGTATTGAATTTTGATAGAAAAAAAAATTGATTAACCGTTATTAAGAAGTGTATTTAAGTCTAACTCAACTCTACAAAACCGACTTATAAGATAAAGGTTGCACCCACTTGTATACTATAAATTAGTTTTATCTCTTATCAATGCAAAACTTCCAATAATCATAAGATATAAACAGGGCCAGCTGCTGCCTGTCAACTTCAACAAAATTGTTGTAATTATTCATGGATCTAATGATTTTAATATTCAGCGTGATATGATTAAATTTCAATCCACCAAGTTGAGTGTGTCAGGACTAAGACCAAGTAGAAGATATAACTTTGGTGAGAGAAGAAAATGTATGATGAAGTGTTTCCTAGGAAAAATAGTATATCAGAATTGATTTAAAGAGTATATAGTAATGGCAAAACAATTTATTTTAAAAGACTAGAGATAACCACCGGAACTAAGTAACAGCTTCCATGTGTAACTAGACATACATCAGTAGAACATGAAGCATACTTACTCAGACATCAGTAGAATATGGGTTACAGCAATAATTTAAGGATTGATGCATGGAACTTTCTCAATAGACACAAAACTTTTCTATTTGAGTACTTTTGACAAGCCTTCAGCCACTGAAGATTTCAAGGAGTGAGAAACAGGATTATCTCCAAGGAATACATTAAAAAGGGCAGAAGCCACATTTGCAGATTCAATTGTAGCATCTACAGTAGATGGAAACCCGTTTGGGGAGACAGAAACCTGAAATATCAATGGACTTAGTTAGAACATTTTAGACAGAAAAGGTAAATGAAGAAAAAAAAGGTTAAATCTGTTTTTTAGTTCTTAGACTTTGATGCGAAATTGAAATTCATTGATGTCCCAAACTTTAATACATCTTGATTTTCAAACTTTAAAAATAAATAAATATAATTCTTTTAACTTAATAATATTGTTTTTATGTCCTAAACCGTGTTTCAAGTTGGTATTTAAGCTTGAATGTGTCAAATGGTTTGAAATGTCATTTAACACTTAAAAAGAAAGCTGATGCAGTTGAATTAAAAGGACTATATCTATTCAATTTTAAAGTTTAGGGAGTAAAATATATCAAAGTTTGGGATATAGATAAATTCTAATTTCACGTATAAGTTTAAAAACTAAAAACATATTTAACCTAAAAAATAATACATAATTTGTTTAAAGAATATGTCACAGGACAAATATGAAAGTAGGATTACAAGCAATTTGGTGGGATTCAACCAAGTCAGAAGTATGAAAGTTCCTTTCTTAAGAGGGCGATCTAGAAAGACACCACGGAAAGTGGTCAAAGCAGTTTCATCTACAGATGTGGATGCTGGAATTTTTGGAGCTATGGCATCACTTAATGCATCCCAAAATGTTTGACCATCAACATCTCTCACAAGAATAATTTGCAATGATTTCTCAAAGGAAGCTGCGATCATATAAAGGCATGTATTATGGACTTATTCACTGTATGACTCAGCATTGCAGAATCAAATAAATGATTATGAAGTTATTTACATTGGAAAATGGTCTGGAACAAGGAAGAATTCCCCTGAATAGCATCTTTTGATAGCCCTTTCCAAGCATTCAATTCAGGAGTAATAGATTGATCTAGATACAAACCTGCAGCATAGACCTTAACACCAATAATTGCAAAAACTTTCTCTCTGTATCCTGAAATAAGTGTTGTTATCCATCAAAGTTTATAACATTGGAAATAAAAGCATAACTACATTATTGAAACTTAATAAATTTCATTGATCTCAGGGTGGCAACAGTTATAAGTTCAGTATATAAGTAGATGCAAACCTCACGAAACATATTATAGTTTCGAACATATCAACCTTTTCTAACATGCTCAGAGAATTTTTGTCTTTTTCTATTCAAAAAGTCTTGATACTATGACATGACTTTTGCTATAATATATATCCTTGCATATTAACATATCAAATTAGGGATGTAGTTGTATCCTATTTTCATACGTCAAGAACATTTTAATCTTTTCTCTTCCAAAAGTCATGTGGTACTATAACAACTAACCAGCTCCAAACAAAGTTAATGAATTTGAGCAACCCGGAAAATTCAAACATGTCTGGAATTTCACTTTTGTTGCTGGCTCCTCCACGTATTCAGCATTTGCAGCTTCAGTGATCAATTACCAAAATTAAATAAATTAGTCATCAGTTGAATAATAGGCAAGCCAATCAAAATAGGTGAAATACAAAGATGAACTATAGATTATGATACCATTTCAGATTTCATATTAAAACCAGTTGAAATTAAGTGAAGTTGTTTGATAGATATCTGTATAAGTTAAAGAGGAATCATTTATGCCAGCTGACAAACAGGTAATTCTTTTAATGTATTTTCATTATCATCAAAACATGTAAACAAAAATGCTATGCCTATATATATATATATATACACACGAGTATCAATTATCAATTTAGAACTTTTGGTATGTTGACAGGTACAAAGAAGCCAGCAAAAAAATACTGCAGAACATCACAATAAGTTCCACTGTAACCATGTCACCTCCAATTGAATATGCAAAAGCATTATTCTCTATTAAACAAGTTACCCGGCAGGACTCAAAATTAACATTTAGTGTAAATTTAAAACAAAACAAAACAATAAACACATATTCTATGGCAACATCAATCTAACTTTCAGGGTATGGAATATTAAGAAGTGGATTTTTAAACTCAATCCTACAAAACCAGGTTTGCACCCACTTATAATTTTTATCTCTACTAACTTTCGTGGGATTTCCAACATAGAATATCTCTACAACCTTAAAGTTTGTTCCCCAGTCTGCATTGTTCATTTTCGAAGAAAGTGCCAAGTGCATTCCAAGAAGAAATAGAATAAGAAAGAAACCAGGCAACACAACACGGCATACAATACAAATTGGCATTAAAAAAGAGAGTGGTGAAGAGAATTGAAAAAGGAAAAGTAAAGCTGAAAAAACTGAGTGGGAGTGACCACAGAATCTAACCTGAAGATGAAGCAGCTTGTGCAAGGAAAAGGGGTTGTCTTCTACTGCTGTGTGAGGAGAAATGCATAGGGGTGGATGATAAGAGTGAGAAAGAGTGGCCATGGTTGCTCAATGGCAATGTTGAATTTGAGACTCCTCTGTGAACAAAAGTTCTTGTGGGGTGCGTGGATGGTGAAAAGCATAGTGCTGTGGAAGCTGCTACAGCTCCAAGCATCTTTTTAAGGTTGGATTGTGTTGTGTATATTCAACCACGATGTTTGGTAATAAAATATTTGAAAGGATTAATAATATATGTATATACTAAGATCAAAGCAATCTGAACTGAACAGAAGTACTCTCACTTCGGTTTTTCCGCCGACATAATCTAACCGTCATCTTGTTGGAGTGATTTTCTTTTTACTTGTGTTGAAGTGAACTAAAAAGGAATTAAAATACACGTATTGAGATTTATATGGACTTATTTTAAGTAAAAAATAGATAACATTTTTATAATTACAGAAAATAAATAAATAATTAAACTACTTCATTACTTTTATCATCTTATCTAAAATATATATCCATTAATTTTGATACATTATTTTTAAATTTGACCAAACATATAAAGCATTTATTTTCAATCTTATTATTTTTCATTTTATAATTTTAATTTTTATACATTGAAATATGTAAAACTGAAAAAACAAGTTGCTCGGGACCATTTAAAAGAAAATATTTAAAAAATAATTATAATTTTCAATGTTTACAAAATACTTATTTCTAAAATTTAAGTTGCATAAATATAATTAATTCAATTTGTATATATATTTATTTACGTGTTAATTTAATACATATGTTTTGATCAAATAGTATTATTTTTCTAATCGTTTCAAATTATAATAATTATTTTTAAAAACAAAAATGTCATATAAGATTAGATTTGTCAATTTAGCTAGGATTTGGCCTAGCATATCGGGTTGGGTCAAAAAGCTCATAAAATTAGAAAAATCTTTTATTAAAAAGGTTTACTAGACTCCAAATTTTTTTATTGTTGCATAAGCTAATGAATAACTCATTAGCTTGTATAATTGTGAATTTTATTTATCTGTTGGAACTAGGAATTTCAGGTTACGGGAGAAATCATGTATTGATAATGAATGGACGTAAGGTAAGATCGTGTAAGTGACAATATGCATAGATCAAATACATCAATGATTTTGGTAAAAATGTGTCAAATTCACTATTACATCTTAGAATTCTTCAATGCAGGAACTCAATTTGAAATTTTAATTTAGTGGGTTCTTTGTAAAAACACTCATTAATTTTTGCTGTGACGTCACATCCCAAAAATTATAATATGAAGCTACATTAACGAAACATCGCATAATAATAAGATAAAAGTTACTTACAGTTATCCTAAAATAACTATAAATTTAAAACTTTACAAAATATGATTAATTTTGATACAAAACATACGAACAAACCGAACGATCATACAAGCGATGTATAAACCGAACGGTCATAAACTAAGAGATTTGAGGCTCCTCGCTCATCACATGCTCCACAGAACACTCTTCACACTCTGCTCACACCCACAGGGTGATCATTGCAAAGGAAAAAGCGAACAGACAAACAAGACAAGACAGAAAAGAAGGGTAAGCTAGTATAATTTAATTAATCATGCTAACATACAATTTAGACAAACATATAATACAATCATACACATACAGATATCATATAAGCATGTTATGACCGACTAACCGTCCAAACAAGTATGAATATGAGCTATGACCGTTCATGCACTCGTGGGAGGTAACCTGGAAACCCAAGCTGCCACACGAGGTCAACCCTTCATCCCTCATTGTAGCTGGAAACCCAAGCTACCACATGAGTTTAGTCCGTTAGCTGGAAACCCAAGCTATCACGCGATCAGGCCTCCTGCTATTCTCATCACATGTCTCATCATTCTCTACTTGAAACTCGGTGACCATTAGAATGTCAGGATGAACACCAAGACTAAGCTTCCCTTATTCATACTTTTACCACATTGAAACCAACCACCGAGACATTTCTCCTTGGAATTCTCTTTCACATCCATATTACAAATATCACATCATACTTTCACTTTGACACCATTATGTTAATGCATACATAAACCATCAAAACCACTGGAATAAATATAAATATAGGCCGAACAAAAATCACCAAACACATAGGAACAATACCGAACACCCTGTGAATATTGGAGACCGAACAGTTTCTCACTACCTAAATAACATGACCGAACAGTCCATAACAGGTACGGCTGAAGAGATGGTCGAACGCTATTTAGAAACCGACCACTATAAGATATCGAGTACAACAACATGACCAAATACTACAACCAGGCCAAGAACTAAGTTAGATCTAACGCTTATGGCTTAGACCGAACACTTATAGTTTAAGCTGAGCACCTATAGTTTAAGCCGAACCCTATAGCTTAGGTCGAACACCCATAGCTTAGGCCGAACACTAAGATATAACCAAACAGTCATTAACGGGTAAGACCCATAAGAGCCTGAACATAGTTATAAGACCGATTACTAGTACGAGACCGAGTATTACGAAGACACTGAGTGCTAGTATATAACCGAACACTATTGAAACTGAGTGATAGTACAACCGAGCACTACTGAGACCAAGTGCTAGTACATGACCGAGCGGTCATTAACAGGTAAGGCTTATAACAGACCGAACACAGTTAAGACCGAAGGCTATGACTAGACTCAACTCTAAATTCAATTGAATAATGGCACAATACCGATCGGTCATTAACTGAAGATCCATAATAAAAGAACTCAGTTAAGACCGATTACCAAAGAAAGCCGACCGGTCAATGAAGGACCCTCAACGAACTGCATAATTTTGCAGAATGACTGCAGAATTATGATCAACACCAAATCCTTACTAATTCCCTATATTATTCCCAACTTCTAATCCTCCAAACTTGTATCATCCATATCTATTTGCATTAATTAAGAGTATCTAAGCCTTTCTAACATCATTAAGAGAGTTTCATCTCAGATTTGAGAGTCACTTCTGTAGAATTATGAACTAAGGACCGAACATCAAATTTTCTAGTTTTGGTACAATTTGAGTGACTTAAGGGTTCTAACATGTCTTAAATAACTTACCCAGATTTTCCATACAAACCAAACTCACAACAGACAAAAATTCCCTATTTTCACTACCACACTTCCTCTCAATTCACTCAACCAATGAACCAGAATTATGCAGAAAGACATTCAACATGAACACAGCACACACCAACAATGTCGAACACACAACCATTGAATTTCACATACATGAAGAACCATCAAGTAGTATTTTCATACATAGTAAATCATAATTAAATTAACTAACTTCCCTTACCTCTTTGACCGAACAGAACAACATTTATCTTTTTCAGAAATTGCTTTCACACTAGAAAATCCTAAGAACACCTATAGTTCACCGATTGGTGAGGAAAGACCACCCAATGGACCAAAATGAAGTTAGAAAGGAGAAGAGAAGGTTGAAGAACACGGGCAACCAATAGGGCTACCTTGCATGTGACAAAATTTTCCAGATTTTCACAAAAACTCAAGAAACGAAACTTACCCGTTCAAAACACAAGTTTGATCGGTGAATGAGGAAGTCTTGACACCAGGATGACTTAGGCACAATCTGATTGTAGATCAGATGAGGTGAGATGAGAGATTTTTAGAGAGAAGGAGAAGAAAAGAGAACAGAGCTTTGAAGAGTGATAATGGTTTCTCAGATAATGAAACAAACTTTGAATTCAACATTTATATATATCAACATTATTTTATTATTAAATGTTTGGTCTCATTATCTGGTGCCACTTGTTCACTTCCAAGGCTGACTCCTCTCAGTCTTTACATGAGACACCTATCCCCTCTATAAACTGAATTTTCTGGGCTCTTACAAAAGAACTCAACTTGAATTCTTAACTAAGTCTTAATGGATGTCATCTTTGTCTCTGTTCACATTAGAATCCTAGTTGCATATATAAGCAACGTAGAGAGTTTGCCCCCATGAAAAGTTAAGAAAGACCAATCTCAACAAGCCAAGATTTATAATGAAATGATTTTACTTAGTGACAAGTTTACTTAAAATCAAACCTGAATCCTAATTTCATGGGAGAAAAAGTTTGATGATATAATTACCATTAACATGAGCCTTGTACTTTGTTTTCTCAAGCCATAATACATAGTTATATGTGTAGTTGTCATTCCCAGGGTGGCTTGCTTCCCTTTCTTCCAAATTTGTGTATTACTTTCATAAAAAACTTGATGATTTTGTAAGGTTACTAGGATAAATGTTAATGCCTCTTCTACGTAATTATTGCATGAATTATCATAATAACCGCTCTAAATTGCATAATCAAGCTTAAGAGACTGAAACAGGCTTATTCTTCACTCCTCAATTCTCACAGCCTTTGCTTGTGGCCAAAAAAGGGAAATTTCTAAATCTTGAATGGCCTTTGTGCTGAAATGTTATCATTAGTAAAACTTTCTAATTTCTTAATAGTAATTTACAATCCATAGTTATCATTTCAACTTCTCCACCTTCAAAACACTTTGTAGACTTGGTTTCTTATCATTGGATGGATTAGTAAAACCCTTTAACATATGTAAGTCTTTTTGCAACTTGTGCCCCCACACAAAGATACTACTAAATAATTGTTATTATATCAGCAACCAAAGGTTCAATGCTGCTTCATCAAGAAATACACAAAAACATAGAGCAATGGCATTGAACCTTAAATGGAATTTTAGACACTCAAAATTAAGTTATGTGATTGAATCCTAATGTTTGCATTAACTATGCCATAAATACTTATAACCATATATATATATATATATATATATATATATATATATATATATAAATAGGCCTTTACCATTGATTAAGGAATTCGGTGGACACCAAAATCACATAGAAATGTAACTTTTTTTATGATAATGATTATGATGGCAACCCCATTTATTTGTGAAGTAAATGACAGATTATAGGGGTTGCTAAACAAATCTAAATACAGATGTGTGTAGCACTATCTACTATAGAGGCGAAGATCATTGTCATTATTGAAGCATACAAGGAGTTGATATAACTAAAGAAATTTGTCCAGGAGTTTGGTTTTGTGTAGGATAATTATCCATTGTTTATTGATAGTATGGGTTTTATCCATCTTGATAAATAATTCAACTTTTCATTTTAGGTCCAAACATATTGATGAAGACATCACCGGATATGCGATGCTTATATTGTTAGAGTTGACTAAACTTCATATTGATGATATTAGTGTTGATATGATGACTAAAGCATTGGCAAGAGGAAAATTTGATGCTTGTTGTAAGATCGCCATTTTGACGATTATCTCTACATAGTTGTCAAGGGAAGACTTGTTGGGTGTCAGGCTTCCTTCCTATATGGACAAAAGACTCAAAATTTAATAAAGTCTACTATGTCTCACTTAACCTAGTGGAGAGAGGGCTGGAAAGTAAGAAAGACAAAAAAAAAAGATGAGTTATAATTCACTTAGAGCACCATCACATTGAGAGAGAGCAAGAGGGAAAAGTATTCATGATTTCAAAGAGTAGCAATGGTAAAATTGATATTGCATATTCGTTCAACATTGGATTGGGCTGAAAATTTTGATAACAAGTTCAAAATATCTTGTTCTTTATTTTAATTGGTTGGATTGTTGATATGAGGTTTAAGTTAGAAGATACTTAGTTGGCACTGCAACAATGTATTTAGTTTTTTTTTTTATTTGTTAGTTGTATTGTTTTTGTTCTTTATTTTTTAGTTGTATTGTTTTACTATCTTACTAGTATTAATACTATCTTATAGAGTTGATTAATATTTATTTGTATTTTTTGTTGATCATAATGGAGTTAATGTTTTAGTTTGGATGACTTGTAATTTTTATCTTTGTTTTTGAGGAATTTTCCATATTAAAAATCTTGATGTTTTTGTCTGTGATTTTGATGATTTATTGTTATTGGTTTATTCTTCATGTATTCTTTTAGTTGTGGGAGAATTATATTCGCTACATGCTCTAATATTTTAGTTGTATTATTGTTTTCGTGTCAAAATCATATGCTAATCTTGTTATTATTCTAGTTTAAGTCTTAAATGTGGGTTGAGATATGTTACCAGAGATAACACCAAACCAGTGTAATGATACAAAATAATACAAATATTTTCAGTACAAATATTTGTTTTTCTTTTTATTTTTTATTTTACTATATTATATAACCTATAAATCTATTTATTCAGTGTTAATGAAATTTTGTATTATGGGAAATATTTTACTTAGGAAAAAGAAGAAGAAAGATAGATAATAGCGTCAGAAGGATAGAGAACTTGTAGCAGAAAGTGAGCCCACAATCCATAAACGAGTAAAAAAAGTGGGGTCATTGGTTTCCACACAACGGTTCTTTCTGCAATAATGGTACTATTATTATTATATATCCGATGCGAAAACTGGAGCCAACAGTGACTAAGCACAGACTCACATCACATCACATCACGTGCAACTACTCTTTTCACTGTGACATAACACTTCCCCACAACGTCTTTCTATCTTCCATTGCTGCTAATGTAGCCGTTATTATGATCTCACCTCAGTTTTTCACCCACCACCTTTTCCCTTTTAAAAACACATTACCCTTTTCTCTCACCCTAATCACGTCACACTCTTCATTAGCCCTCGTTCTGCTCTCACAGCACTGTTCAGTTCAGAGTACTTGTACAACTAACAACCATGGAAAATGTGCCTCTCCTCCTTATCCTCCTGTTCCTCTCTCTCTCACCAGGTATGTGTCAGATGCCATTAACTTTTGCTTTGCTCCACTGTAGCATTCTGAACTCATCTACATTGCTCTCATTTTTTCTCTTGGTTCCTTGTTTTCGTATGTTCTTGTGCAGGACGGAATCTGATCATGGGTAATGAGCAGGTTAGTTGGCTAGAACCTGTTCTTTCAAATGCAGTTGAAAAAGGGTTGTAAATTGTATTTGTATATAATATTGTTGCTGGAATTAATCGATTGTTTTGGAATCACAGAAAACTTGGTGTGTGGCAAAGCCTTCATCAGATCAGGCTACCCTTTTGTCCAACCTCAATTTTGCCTGTTCTCAAGTCGATTGCAGGATTCTACAGAAAGGGTGTCCCTGCTTTTACCCTGACAATCTCATGAACCATGCTTCCATAGCCATGAATCTCTATTACCAATCTAAGGGAAGAAACCACTGGAATTGTGATTTCAGAGCCTCTGCCCTCGTCTCTCTCACTGATCCAAGTATGTTACTCCACAACAGAACAAAATTTCCATGTTAAAAATTTATCTCAATAATATGTGATAAAGATTGCATCAGTCAGACTTACAAGATAAAACATTAACTTTATTTATAATATCTACATTTTCTCAGATTACTCAATTTCTTGTATTGAATTCCTAACTGCTTTTATGAACATAGACCAGAAAATGTTGTTTGTTCTGTTTTTCAACAACAATTAAAAGTTAAACTCAATAATTTATGCAGAAAAAGTTTACATTATACTGATCTCAATTCTGTTAAAATTTGATCTGAGTAATCTTTTGAAGTTATTGGGTTATTATAGGACTAGAACATATAAACTTCAATGTTCTCATGTTTTGTGATGTTAAATTGCAGGTTATGGAAACTGCATTTACGCATAGAAGGCAAACTAGTGGAGTATATAAATTGAAGTACTATCTGCAACAATGTAGGCAAAATTGGTGTGTACTTTGTAATAGTATTAGGTTGCCATTGTCAACCCATAATATAAATGTATGCCGCATAACACGTAATCAAAATTTCACCTTTCTTATCATAGAATCATCAGCAACCTCTTATAGATTGTTTAGATGAAAATTTTTAGATAATTCACTTTTATATTGAATTTGAAATATCTTATAATAAAATATCTTTTTTGATAAGAAATTACAAAAATTAGTATGATTAAAATTAGCCTAAACTTTATATGCATAAAACATGATAACATATGGTATGAAACGTATTTTAAACTTTGGAATGAAGAAAACAGTGCAAAAATATAAAACACTAAATGCACACAAGGTGTTTGTTAAAGTATTCTAATAATCATGAATATGCAAATACAATACAACAGCTGTAGACATGTTTTAATCACTTAAACTAAGCACAAAGTACATTAAGAACTAGGTTATAACATTTGAAACTCAAAATTATATATGATACCAAAATCACATAACTGAAAACATATATAATATATTTATGTAGTTGTTTTATTTAATATTAATTATGAAATGTTTTAATTGGGAGAGTGATTTTAGTAATCGAGGATGTTACACAATTACTTTATTTAATCAAGAAAATTGAAATGTGAAATATTTTAATTACTATGTGTAAACAAAATATTTAAAAAAAATTAGGGTTAAATATGTTTTTCGTCCCTTAAGTATCACACGATTTTGAGTTTAGTCCCTACTCGAAACTTTGATGGTTTTTAGTTCTCATAGTTTTGAAACTCTTACTATTAGTCCTTAAAATTGGACAGCGTTAACTTTTAGTAGATGTGGCAAACGGCGAGGCCACGTCTTATGTCAGCTTGCCTCTTCACTCTCTGCCACATTGCTTTTCTTTTTATCTGGCCAATAAGAATCTGACACGTGGCCAGGTAAAAAGAAAAACAACGTGGCAGAGAGTGAAGAGGCAAGCTGGCATAAGACGTGGCCTTGCCGTTTGCCACATCTACTAAAAGTTAACGCCGTCCAATTTTAAGGACTAATAGTAAGAATTTCAAAACTATGAGGACTAAAAACCATTAAAGTTTCGAGTAGGGACTAAACCCAAAATCGTGTGATACTTAAGGGACGAAAAACATATTTAACCCAAAAAAATATTTCGAGTATGACGTGGTTCATTTTATGTAGATCTTAGGTAGAAATTGAATTCATAATATTAACTCTCATAATATTTACCTATATAACTATACTAAAGGCATAATAAACTTCATTTCACATAACCGTCCAAATAATAAGGAAAGGAAAATATAATACATTTCGCTAAACAAATTAAATGTAGGATGTAAACATGAAACAATAAAAGCTATTGTGTAAACAAATGTTGTGAAGGGAAGAAAAGATATTCATGACTTAGCAACTTGGAGTCCATTAAAAATTTTCATGATAGTTACATATATTATGAGGGTCAAAGATTTTTGGATTAATACCTTTTTATTTTCGTCAACTTTATTCGATGTGAGATTCATTTTATTTGAATGTTCAATGTAATCCACAATTTCGTGATTTATGTTCAATTTGGTCCATTTTGTTAACGATGTTTAAATTCTTAACAACAAAATGTTCACAACACCAATTAGTGAATTACATGACAGTTATTGACTGACGTGGCTAGGACCAGAGTTGACTAAGGATGATCGCGTTAATGAGGGCTTGACATGTGGCAACCCCTTTCTTCACTCAAAAATTAGGGTTTCAGATTTGCATCTGTAAATTGGGGAAAATCTTGCTCTAATGCCGTCACTCGAGGAATAGGGTTTCTCCTTCACGACGGTATTGGTGAACTTTGTGATAATTAGTTTGCTTTTAAGTTTTTCTCCTACATGTGAATGAAGAAGGTGGGTGGAGAATCTTGCAGAGATGCGTTGGTACGACAGTTGAAGATGATTGCATGATTCGGCTTTGTGTTTCTACGATTTGGGTTTTGCTCGCTAGAGGTTGGCGATGATGTTGGTGGTTGTTCACCGTTGCAGCGCGAATCGCGCTTCTGGTTTGAAGGAGATTTTTGGTTCTCTGGGTTCTGATCTTCTGTGTTTCAAGTTGATGGTGGTTGGTGGAGAATGAAGAAGCTTCACGACGACGTTTGCTTAAAGGCACGAGGAACTTACGATTCAATTTCGCGATGCTTATGGCGGAGCATTTGGAATAGCGACAAAGGTAGTGGAGGATGTTTTGGTGGTCGTGGCGGTGCAAGATTGGTGGTGGTCTGGAAAGTCCTTCGCGTGACAACGATCACTAGGGTTAGGTGGTGGTTAGGGTTTCTGTGTAGGCGGAATTAGGGTTTCTGGAGGTAGGAGATGATGACATGTCAAGGATTATGTGTCCAAGTCAGCCAATAATTGTCATGTAATTCATTGATTGGTGCTGTGGACATTTTTCCATTAATAATTTAAACATCATCACCAAAAAGGACCACATTGAGCATAAATTACGAAATTAGGGATTACATTGAACATTAAAAAAAATGAATCCCACATCGAACAAAGTTGACGAAAATAGGGACCAACAATAATATTAAGCCTATAATATTTTTCTAGGTCAAGTTTTTTTTCTAGGTCAAGTTTTTTTTCTAGGTCAAGTTTTTTTTTTCAGAATTCTTAATCTGAAAGAAGACTTTCTTTTTTTTTTTTTATTAATTTGATGATCATAACCCATAATATTTTTGTGGGTATTGTGATTTTATGTACTTTTAGACAATATTTATTTCTATTCATGAAAACTTATTGGAAAAGAAAATACAAATACAACTTAAATATATATATATATATATATATTATAATTTAAGTCTTTAATAAATTTGTGAATTGAGTTCTTAATATTTTTTATAGTTTATTGACTACTCAATAAATTATATTTTTCAATTAAGTATCTAACGTTTAATTTTTTTAACCATGATCTTTTTTTAGAAAACAATTAACTTAAGTGTTATCAACCATCTCAATGTTACTTGAAGAGAATTTTTACATTCAATATTGCATGAAGTGCATTTAAAATACCTTTACATTTATGCTTCTTAGATGAAGAAGATGAAGCAATTTAAGTTCAAAAGCTTTGAGCAATAAAAAAAAGGATTTGCAACAACTCTTTCTTCCAAGCTCTATATAAAGTTATATATATGCATAACGACTAAGTTGGATAACCAATCGATAGCATTATCGTCGAGTCCAATTACTTCAACTGATCAGTCTTGCTAAAGACAATATTAGGAGATAATATGCAAATCACCACACTAAACAAGGTTATGATGTTATTGGGCAATGATTAGGCTCTAATAAAGGTAAAAGCCAATCAACGGCCTTATAAAGAAGATGTGTAGGTAAAGTATTTAATACTTTCAAACCAACTGCATTTATTGTACTAGACTATACCGAACAATTATTTATGCGTTGGAGCATCTCTTGTATGGAACCTACCAAAAGGACAAAGTGAGAACGAATGGAATGTCAGTGAAGAAGAACGATCAGCGCACAGTGAACAATCAAATAACTTTGAGGATTATGGGTAGTCTAGTCCTACAAGAACATTTTGGCACCCACCCTAGGGTAAAACGTTTAATCCCAATGGTGACTACAAGAAACATGACAAATAATGAAGTGGTAGTAGAATAAATAGAGGAGCAATTGGATCCCATGGAAATGGTGCAAGAGCTTATAAGAGAATTGGAAACGTGGAAAAAGAAAAGTGTTGAGGACTTAAATGCCTTCCCAGTAAAAAAACGCTCAAATGAGGTAGCAGATAGATAACCTAGGGAAATTGTTGTCCAAAATCATACAACAAGGGTCCATAGAACAAGTGATATGATCATACATAAGTCAAGAATGAAGAGTTTAAATAGTGACAAGAAGCATAAAAAAATATCATAGGTTTTCTTAGGCTTGTATTTTTCCTATTCTAGTTTCTAGTTTCTTTCTCTTAAATTGGTTGTAAAATAGCTTATATATTCTTCTTTTCTTTAAGGTGCAAGCAATGTGGGACTTCACATAGCTTGGACCTAAAAGAAAAAAGAATAGGTAAGTCTATTCTCCTTTTAGTTGCTTGTATTGCAAGTTATCTCATGTACATTTTTAGTTTTGATCTTTAAACTAGTTAGGTAGCTTATATACCCTTAGGAGGTTGTAGAATTAAGAGATGTGGGCTTAAAGCAACCTTGAGAGTTGTTATCTAGACTTATAGGCATCCATGTCCCACATCCTTTCTTTTCTCCACCTACTTCATCTCCTAGTGTTATATAAGCAACCTATGGTCTCCTTTGTACACACACCTTGAACACCTTCAAATTTGAATATAAAGAGTGATTTGCATTCAATTGCATTACTTCTTTGAGATAGAATTAAAATGCATTCAAATGCGTCATATGTGAAGAGGTGTAGGCGATGCCTAGAACACGAAAATATAAAGAGTGTCTTGGTAGGTCAATAGTCGCCAGCCCTTAACGTAATCTAATGAGCCAGATCTCATGATGTTTCAAATCCTTTTTACAAAAGGAAATGACATGATTTTTTAGGTGCTACAACCTTCATAACTGGATGGACGATGCTTCTCATTCCAAGGCCCATGAGGGGATTGAACATTTCAATGGCTCGCCTATAGCAAAGGAGGTGTTGGCTACTACAAGTTGAAAAGGCCTCATTCCCATTCTTCCATGCTCAGGCTTAGGGACTAGTGTACATACTGACTAAGTTAGGTGGTCGATTGATACTCGATAACATTATCATTAAGTTTGACTACTTCAATTGATTGGTCCCGTTAAAGACAACATTGGGAGATAATATGCTAATCACCACATTAAACAAGGTTAGGAAGTTATTGGGCCATGATTAGGCTCTCCAAAAGGTAAAAGCCCATCAAATGCCCTATAAATAAGATATGTAGGTAAAACATTTAATACTTTCGAACCACCTACATTTATGGTTATAAGATTAAGGGTCCTATAAATAAGATATTTAGGTAAAACATTTAATACTTTTGAACCACCTACATTTATGGATCTGGGATTGATTGTGGAACTGAGCAGAGAGAACCTAGGACGAGTAGGAAGATACGCTAGGCGGGTTCTGACCAAATAGAGCACAGAGCCAACGAGTCTTTAAGTGGCAAACAACGTCATGAGTCTAAGGGCGAGATCAAGCTTGAAAGGAATGGACATGTGTAGGCTTAATGGTGAACGCAAACCCCCCTGCTTATAGATGTACTCGACTATACCAAACACTTACTTGAGCGTCAGAGTGTGTATTATAGGTAACTAACCGAATAAAAAAAAGGAGAATGATCAGAACTCTAGTGAATAAGAACAATCGGTGAATAATGAACAATAGGAGAACTTTTAGGATTAAGGCTAGTCTTAGTCCTACAATAACATTATCCTTTGAAGAAGAGAAAAAATGTTTCAAAGTGTAAAAATGTTACCAAAATCCTTTTGTGACCTTAAGAGCTTTATGAAAGAACATTGTTGTGTTTACACTCTCTACTAAGCAAACTTTTGTTATCTTTGCTATCACATCTTTACTCAAGCTTTGTTTGTATAGCCATGAATGGTTACTCCCCGAAAAATACTTATTGTCTTAGCTTTGAGTAATTATTTTCCAAACAATACTTTGCATTATTAGGGAATGACTATATTCCAAACAATACTTAATAGGTTAGTCAGAAGTGGTTGAGATTAAAAAAATACTTAGTTTTGTAGTTAGAAGTGGTTTTTAGTTAGGAGTTCTTAAGCATTTAATTAATACTTGGATTATTAGCTAGGAGTCTCCATCAATGATTTACAGGTCATATGTTTGTTAACTAAAAGAGGTGTTATGTCTTAAGATGATACAAGATGAGATTCACTATTTTACGTTGCCACAAATAAGTACAATGTTCTATTAATAAGCAAAACTTACAAGTTTTTATTAATTTATAAGATTATTTGTGAGCAAAGGTTCCTCCTTGGTCAAGTATCTTTTAACTCTTGTTGAGAAAAAAATCAGGATTGTATGAGGTTGTTGAACTATGTAGAAGTGACAAATTATCCCTTTAAAGATCTTTTGATGTTGATGTTTCTTGTGTGATAGTATTGGTGGTAAAATGGAAGAACATTCTTTGCAAAACATAGTATAAGCATTTAGGAGTCATGAATGTCATATGAAATGCTAAAGTCAATATATTATCATTTGTCTTCAATTAGACAAATATAAGATTGTAAGATGTTTTGTTTGTTGGCATCAAATGAAGAACTTATGTTTGTTTAGATATGATACTTAAAGATATTTTCATACTTGTAATATATTATTGTAAAAACATCTAATCAAAATTACATAGGGTAAAATTATATTTATTGATCATTTCCTTAACACTCACCTTAAATATAAAGAAAATTAAATGTAGCATCTCAAAGATCTTGATTAAGGTGTTTCTTGGTTTAAGGAAATTTTAATATTTTTTACCATTTATAAATATTATAAAGTATTAATAAGTTAAATTCTCTTAAACTCAACCTATTCTTCTAATATCCTTAAGTGATGTGGAGAACACCCTATAAAGAATAATTTAATGAATGATATACAAAACTAAATGAGTAACATAAGTATATATATGTTCATTTTGAAGATGTTCCATATAGTGTTTGACGATAAGGCTCTTCTAGTTGGATGATATAGATACTTCTATTATTCCATCAACGAAGTGATGTCAACAAACTTTCTATGGCCAAAATGGTATGGATGAATGCATGATACTAAGTTTTTATTTTGTGATTGTTATCCACTTTGTACCCTCTTGAAATAAGGGTAGACAGAGATTTATTATAAATCTTGAAAGTTTTTTCACCATTATCGTTGGTTTAAATAATTATTTTAATTATTTTTTAAGGTTTTAATGCATCTAATATATCTCAAGTTTTATGAAATGTTTTTTTTACTTTGTTTTAATTTTGAAAACAAGGTAAATGAACGTATAATAGAGTAAGAGTAAGAAAACCATAATTAATAAAAAAAGCTTAAATAAATTAACAATAATTTGATCTTTATATTTTAAAAAAATATTTCTCCTCTCATTTATAAAAAAAAAAAAAACACACACACACATATATATATATATATATATATATATATTAAAATAAGAAATAAACATTAAATACTAAAATTATAGGATATCTTACTGAGTAATTTTAGACTATCAATTATACAAGACTTTGAGTTGACTATGACTCTACTTTATTATGTGTCATTAAATTTTTTATAATAGATTTCAGCTCTTTTTCTGTGTTATTTGCTGAGAGCAATATTTGTTCCATCCTTATATGTGATCACCTATATTTTTATATATATTTTTTATAATATAATTCATGTGATGTGATAACAAAATAATTTATTAATTTTGGAATATACTAACTCATAGTGATGCATAGCATCAATTTTATTTTTTATATTTTTAAAACAAGATATAAACAAGCTCTATTTCTTTCTTTGGCTAGTTCGAGATTGAGATGGTTATAAAGGCTACTGCAATTTCGGAAGGATTTTTGTCCAATTCCGTTTTAGAATATCGACAAACAATGTATCTGTTACTGCAAGTGAGATTAGTTTGGCAGAAATGAACAACAATCGTTCGAATATTGTCATAGAATTTCATGTGATTGGTTGTAATATTCGTTACCACACGCTAACATTTGGACACCGTATTTTCTTCGAAAATATCACCTTCAAAGGAAATATGGCAACGTGGCCCTATCCACCAAACTCAAATTACGTTCATGGCTGCTTTAATTTTTCATAAATGTTCTTGTTTTTCTCTGGCTCTTGTTTCAACACATCCAACAATAACTTTTATAGGATAGTAATTAATGTTAGAGACGTGTCTTCATAAAAACTTTCTTAAAAGTAATGTAGGTTTTTGTTAAACAAATTTAAAAATATTTGTACATAATTTAACATTAATTAAATAATAACAATAATAATGATATTAAATAATCAAATTAATTAATATTTAAAAGTTTGTGTGGACAATATAATTTAAAATCAATAAATAAATTCTTTTCTAAAGTCAAACTTTCAACTTTTTATTACAAAAAAATATAACTCAAATTACATTATCTCTGATGTAAAATATGGATGGTTTTTATGTACAAAAAAGTTCTTCATATACACCTAATGGTACATTGTAATCTATAACCATTGCAACCATAATATTCTATTTTTGAATACATTTTTGTTAAATGTTTTTACTTTTAATTTTAAATAAGTAATTATCATAAGATAATTTATTTTAAGGAAATGCACAGTGAAATACTTTGCTTGAATAATAGAATTATTATTATTATTATTTGTAAAAACGATGGACATTAGAAAGACATTTTGACTCTTTCACCCATGTTTAGAGTTCACACAAAACAAGGTGATGTCTTAAGGAAGCAGCATGAGTCACAGATTTCACTCTCATAGCTTTCTCTCTCCAACTGATAAGAGACGTAGTCCCATGTGGGTTCTTAGGATCCACTCACTCAACTCTAACTCTTGTGTTCCTTCTTTTCTCTTCAAAAAACTTGTGATTCTCAAACACCCTTTTTCTCCTTTTCATTCTTCTTCTCGTTTTCTCCCTCCAATGGCTGCACCTAGCTACTGCCTCTCTACATAACGTCAATTTATCCTCCTTTTTCATCTGGGTACCGTGAATTGCGACTGCCACTGCTTTCTTCCTTCTGGGCCTCCCTCAGAAGTCAGAATGATGTCTGTCACAGGCAAAACCATTGATTTCGCTGGAAAAAACTTGGTCTCTTGTGGCTGTTCTTCCAATGCTTCCTTTGATAGGCACACAGTCAGGAACTACGCCAGGGTTAGTTCTAAAGGGTGTGGTAGAGTCTATGGAGCATGTAAATTGTTCTGTTGTACGAAGAGGAGCACTCAGTGTCGAGTTTCTTCTATGAAGACTGCGGAACCCACCGTGAATGGTACAAGATTTGATTTTGATTTCATGCATTGTTGTTTCTGTAAAAAATTGTACACTGTCAATCAGAAACCATCCCTGGTATGAAGTTTGAGTTGTCGTTCTAGAACTCAACAAACTTACCAATTGTGATAACTGTAATTGAATGATTGTGTACTATTTACACTATTTTCTAGTAAGACAATGGAAGTGATTCAGGTTACTTCAAGGGCATGTACTGTTTGAGTGAAGGAAAACTATAGTTTGAAACTTTTTGTTTTTGAACAGGGGGCACTCAAGCAATTGAAGGCCTTAACAAAGGATTGAACTTGAAGGGTTTTTCCGAAACCCCAATTTCTGCAGCTAGGTTCTTTGAAGCGGTAGCTGATGATTTGGTAACTCTCAATAAAAATCTGCAGTCGGTAAGTAATGCTTCTGGGATGGATGAGTGCTTTCTGGTGTTTTATTTATTATGAACTGTGTGTGACTGTTGCTGTCCCATCTCATGAAGTCTTGTGTTGTTCTATATATTGTGAGTGAGAGTGCCTTCAGCAGACCAGAAATGTATAGAATTAACAAGGGGAATAGGCGCTTCAATGAAGTCCTTTACTTGTTCTTGGATTTTGTTCTTGTTAACCTTTATTGAATTCATTATTTGGGCTTTGTTTATTATTTCTTTGTATCTTGACACCAATTTACAAATTGCAATGTTTTGGATTAATGATGTTCAATTTTATTTACTTATTTATTGAGATTGGATCATTTTTTGTTACAAACATAAGTTACTATTCACTTGTTTGATTTTTTTGTTTTGTAAGAATGTTTATTCAGTCAATTTGTTCAAAGTACTTATCATTCTCATTGCCTGCTAAACCTTCTTTCAATTAGCTTCTTTTGCTTTGCAAGTGGTGATCATTGGATTTTTGTTACCTCGCTTTTATTGTATATGATAAAGGTGCTTTGATAGATTGTAGGAGCAGAAAATCCAGTTTTAATGTCTGCAGCTGAGCAGATTTTTAGTGCTGGTGGGAAGAGGATGAGACCAGCTCTGGTGTTCTTGGTGGCAAGGGCAACTGCAGAGCTGCTTGGCTTGAAGTAAGCACATAACTCTCTATCTCTCTCTCACACACACACACACACACTCACACACAAGTCCACACTCACACACAAAGGCATAAGCACACGTTCTTTGTCGTACCTAAAATTTTTATATGAAAATAAAAAGTTGAAAATTTCATGTGGAAACGTTGACTCCAGGGAACTTACTGTAAAGCATCGACGTTTAGCGGAGATAATTGAAATGATTCATACTGCAAGTTTGATACATGATGATGTACTAGATGAGAGTGACCTTCGAAGAGGTAGGCCTGTGATTTCTCTTTATATACTTTTTAACTTTCCTGATTTAGCTTTAGATTATTTGATTATGTCTTATTTTAGCTTTTTTTTAAGCTGGGATGACCATGTTACAATTTATTTGATAAAATGTTTCCTTTACGTTATGTTTGTGTAAAAGCAGTGGTACTCGGGCTTGCATCATGTTTGAAATGTGTTCCATCATAGTCTTTGTCTGGTTCAGAACTTTTTGGATCAGTAATGATTTTCTGTAAAATAAGAGCATGCTCACACTTTGTGTAAGAAAAATATCTCTACGAAGAGGAGAAAAGAATGAAAATAAGGGAGAACTACAGTAAATTTTGGTACTGAAATAGGAAAAAATGTACATTAGAAGCCTCTTCAATTTTGCGATGTCTTGGAAAGGGCTTATGTTGTTAATACAACAACATCAAAATCTTATCCCTCTAGGTGAGTTCCATTACATGGATTTCTTTCAACCCAGTTTTACACATAAAGAATAAAAAAGTGCGTGTCATCAGTGCTTCTGATTATTGGTTGCATGGAGTTCATCTCTTTAAGCAATGACAGCAGACCAAACTAGCAATGCAAGTTTTGGTAAAATATACCATTTTGGTAGGCTGCAAGTGCCATTCTATAGCATATAATTGGAAGCTAAGAGTATACTTCTCATTACATGCTCATGGAACTGTTTCTAATGATCTTTAGGGAATTCAAGTAAAAACTGACAAAATTGTGTTCTCAAATATACACATGTCAAATAGATCTATAAATATCTTGCTTCAATAGAACATGAACATTCTAGTTCCTGTTTTAATAAATTCATTTTGTTATGTACCAACAGGGAAGAAAACTATACATCAAATTTTTGGAACAAGAGTTGCAGTGCTGGCCGGAGACTTCATGTTTGCACAGTCATCATGGTATCTAGCCAACCTTGAAAATATTGAAGTCATTAAACTAATCAGCCAGGTGAGTTCCATCACCATGCCTGTTTAAGGCACCATCTTTTACTTGCATGCCTAAAATCACTATTGCAAACAAATGATGGATGCACCCTGGAGCCAGTTGCTTTATCGTGGGTGTAAGATATGCACAATTCCATTTTATATAGTTCTTTTTGCATAACTACTTGGTGCTTTTTTAGGTGATCAAAGATTTTGCAAGTGGGGAAATAAAGCAGGCCTCAAGTTTGTTTGATTGTGATGTTCAACTTGAAGAGTATCTAATTAAGAGCTATTACAAGACAGCATCCTTGATTGCAGCCAGCACCAAGGGAGCTGCAATCTTCAGCGGTGCTGACAGCGGCATCACTGAGAAAATGTATGAATATGGAAGGAATCTGGGTCTATCCTTCCAAATTGTGGATGACATTTTGGATTTCACGCAATCAGCAGAGCAACTGGGAAAGCCTTCTGGCAGTGACCTTGCCAAGGGCAACCTTACTGCACCAGTAATATTTGCACTGGAGAAAGAACCAAAATTGAGGGATATCATTGAGTCTGAATTCAGTGAGGATGGTTCCCTTGATGAGGCCATCAATATGGTTAAGAGTAGTGGGAGCATTGAAAGGGCTCAAGAGTTGGCCAAAGAGAAAGCTGATCTTGCAATTCAAAGTCTCCAGTGCCTTCCTCAGAGTGTGTATCGTTTAGCCCTTGAGGATATGGTGGCATATAACCTTCAGCGGATTGCATAAGCTTATGCATGCTGATGTATAAGGACACACTGTTAAAAAAAAAAAAAACAGAAAAACATTCTTTTGGTTCTAATATATAGTGATAAAAGCCTTGAACATGTTGTCATTTCAAGAATTTCCTCCAAATTCTGCTCCTGTGATACTTTTGGGGTACTTATATACGCATTGAAGGACAAAGCAAGTGCACATTCTCATAATTTAATATATTTGCAGTTTCTCCCTCAAAGTAAAGAGCAAGAACATAATATATTCCTTTACTGTATCAATACAAGTTGCAGTATATTCTTTCCCCAATTCTTCCTTCCTGGAATCATGAAAACAGTAAGGATAACAAATGAATATTTGATTTTCTTTTTCTTTCCTTTTCTTTTGTATTTTCTGAAGATAGTATAGAACTGGGCTTATAAACTCCATATGGTCTTTGCGTTGCTCATTCATTGTTTATCATACTTTATTCTTTCCTATCTACAAAAGTTTGAATTTTTAAGCATTTGCAAATGCTTATTCTTTATGGTAATTGAATAATATGACCAATATGTTTTTGATGGATAAGAGTGAAGAATCCTTCTGTACATAATACAATTGAATACCAATTGTTTGATTTGATGCTTTCCAAACTACACATTAAATGTCATCAATTTGAAATTTGATTGACTCGATTCCCAAAGGATATGTTGCATTAATGGGGGAAATGTGCGTGTGATGGTAAAAGGTCTAAGTTGAATAATTTGGAACATATGCCCAAAAAATTGTTGCATATATTTTGGATTCACAAATTTTGCTTGCTCATAAGCGTGTCACCTTTTTTCATATTTAAGGTTTGTTTGTGCAGTGACTAACCTATTTATATAGAGTAATTGTAAACGATAGTTTTTGCACACATCCTGAAAAAAATCCCAAAATTTAGTTTAACATTTGTCAATAATTAAAACATAATATAAAATATCTTTCTTTTTGCCTGTTCATTCATGCATAATAAAACTAAATAATAGAAACATATTTACTCGTATAATAAATCCTTTTGATCTATCAAACATTTTTTTTTCACTTTACATTATTGACTAGATTATACAAATTTCCTTCTACTCTCACAATATGATATTTTTATGAGTCTAATATCAATAGAGTATTGAAATCTCAAACTTCACACAACTTAAACATCTCAACATAATATTCATTCCTTATAAATGTATGTTCACTACGCACCACATGTCATATCATAACATAATAAGAATATATTCTTATTTATATTGATCATTGTTGTTTTATGATCAAATAAAGTAAACTGAATTTTTTACTCTTAAATATACGGGTAAAGAGAGAGTTAGCCAACCTAAGTCGTCTTTTAACGAATTCAATTTATCAATACGGTTATCATTCATTAAATTTACAAAAAATATATCAAATTAATTAAATAAGGATCAGTTAATTCATTAAGAATCACTTGTTTCAAGTGTCCACAAGTGAGATTCTAGTCCAAACAATCTACATGTGAAGTATTTTATTTTTCTTACCTTTCTAATTAAACAAGCATGTGTGCATCTTTGAATTAACCAAAAAATCGTGAATTAATTCATTTAGTTTCTCACTTGTTCCAAGCATCTACAAGAGAGATTGTATTTATATTTCACTCATTCTAAGTGTCTATAAAAGGTGTTGCTTACACCTCCCATATTTCAAGCATCTACATGTGAAGATTTACTTGTTTACCTAAACAAAAGTTTATTAACATGTGAAGGTTTTAAGCAAACCGATAAGAATTCTAATTAAATAGTAAGATCAAATTATCAGGAAGTGTTTTAAAATAATCATAAAAGCATAAATCAGAACTCAAAAAGAATAGATAAAATATACTATATTTTGAAGAAAATTAAAGAATAAAACTTTGATTACACATAACCTAAGAATAAACTATGATTACAAGAGAAACAACCCAAGAGATTTATCCTTCCATGTAAAAGACAACACATGACATAAAAGTGAAGTGATGAGCATGATGAGTGGTGAACTAAGATGAGGTGAATGATAGGATGAAAGGATGAGTGATTTGATAAGCTCTATTGGACCATTATTTATAACAGACTTTGGTGATCAAATCTATTTCTCATATATGCACACTCTAGGCTTTATTTTAATCGATCAAAAGAAATAACTTCAGTTGTACAACTTAAAAAATGTTCAATGCAATAGAGATTCAAGAGATCCAATGCTAGATTCAATTTGAAAAATATTGTGAAAATAGTGTATTCTAATGTTGAAAATTCTCATGAATCTTACACAAAATATAAACTTTACTAAAAACTTATGTTTCTAGAAAGTTCAACTAAGCAAATTATCCAATTCCCCCAACACATTAAATGACTAGTGTCTTTAAAGTACACAAATCCATCAAACGATACATAGTAGATGAGCCCATTAGACAAATCTGGCAAAAAAAAAAGTAGATGTGTTGTCATACTCTTGACTTGTCTTGAATCATCTTCTCTTTTTAGTCTTCCAACTCACTTTATTTTTGCATTAAGCTTACTATCTTAGCTCCTCTTAATCATTAGAAATTCACCAAATCAATCATGTTAACAATGTTCACAGATCCATACGACAATTTATCACTATATCATCTATACATAAATCATGAACTTGTCTAGATATATGCTTCATCTGCACAAAACACAAGTTAGAATGTTTATGAAGCTTCTATGTAGTGCATCAACTCAACAAAATTTAGTGCAAGGATGATTTTTTGGATTGTCTGGTGAGATTCAATAAGTTAGACTTGTAACGCCCATAATAGGAGGCTACATATAAAAGATTAATATACAAAATGTATAACAAGATCTCATCAATTTTTTTTAAGATTAAAAACGCGGAAGCAATTCATAAACATATCTTGTATCCATATATTACAACAAACCAAATCTTACTTATTCTTTAAAAATACTAAGATCAAACACACGTGAAATAAGAAAATAACAACATAAAAACCCCGACAAGTTTTATTTCTCATCTCTCTCGTCGAGCTACTCAAAATAACATTATCTGCAATACCATCTACTCCCGTACAAGTACGATCATTGCAGGTGAAACCACAACCATAACATGCAAGGTGAGCAACCATAAATATCATATTATATAATAGTATAACCCATTATTCATAGACTAAACCATCCATAACATCGTATTTCAACACAAAACATAATAACATCACCATCAGGCCTTTCATAAATCAATGTCAGTTCCTTGTATTTCGTCGTCATAACATGTTCTCAATAATAGGCGATTCAAGTCGTCTTTCATCGCAACTTCAAACCTATCTTTCCGATTCCTCATGGACTAACGAGTGAAAATACCGATAATACGCGCACCAGTGCACTATAGTCAACACGAACCGCAGTCACTGGGCGAGACATCCACCCTTTTATTTCTTCGCACAAAAGGAAATGTGACACTCGAATCTTTGTCTCGCGAGATTCAAACTTATTATCGTATTGATATGCTCACACATCCGATAAAATTACAGGTAAATAACACAGTTTATGTGCACAACATAAACTCATACATATTCTCGATAACATGTATAAAACCAACCAAAAACATAGGTCAAACTAAATAACCAACAATTCTCAAATTAAAATAGTTTTTTATTTTTAAACTAAAGCACCCCCGAAATTGCTAAGTTCACACCCCTATCCATTAAAACAAAATTTTTGGCGCCCCTATAATTACTAAGTTCACACTCTTATCAACTAAAACAAAATTTCTGACACATCCCTTGAGATTACTAAGTTCACAACCTCTCTACGAAAACAAAATTTTTGACACACCTCCTATAGTTCTTAATTCACACCCCTCTACATTAAAACAGAATTTCTGACGCACCTCATGTAATTACTAAGTTCACACCTCTTCCCACCTACTTTGCAGGTGGTCCTACAACCATTTAATTATTATTATTTTTCTTTCACCTCTTTGGTTGGTCCCACGAGGGTCCATCTAAGGATGGCATAAAAACCTGTACCCGCGGATAAAATTCGCTACGGGTATTTAGTACCTGCGGGTAAAAGGTACCTGTAGGTAATGGGTCGCGGGTATTTTAATACCCGCTTGTTAACGGGTCGGGTTCGGATATCACACTATCCGCACCCGCGGATACCCGCTACCCGTCTGAAAAAATGAAAATACAATTTTATCCTTCGTCCTTTAAATTATTTTCTAAGTTGTTGTATTCTGTGTTTGCCTCAAACCCTAAATTTCAATTTTGAAGGGTCACACACAAAACCATCCACTGGGAATTGAATGCAAACTCAAGAAAGGGAGTCCCATTACTTCCCACACCGGCACTACCAGATATCTGAACATGTTCTTCTTCTTCTTCTAACAGTAACCGTTCATAAGTCGTAGGGTTACATTTGTCACGGTGTCGTTGCCGCTCAAAATACAGATCTCGCGTTGTCGCCGCCACGCGTAACTGGCGATGTTGTCGAACACGTCGCAGCCGCTGCCTACCTCGTCAAGGATGTGCGCGTGGAGCGTGTTGGCGCTCTCCCTGGTGATCATCATAGGCGGCTTCGGCTTGTTCTTGGATCCCGGCGGCCGCCCTCGTGGATTCATGAAGTTTCCTTCTCCTTTCTCTTCTTATTTATTTTTCTCACTTCTCCTAACTTACGTAACTTTCCATGCACACTCACCACTGTTCACTTTTCACTTTTATTTCACAACTCCACTTTTATCACTTCAACTCCAACTTACTTAAATCACCCACACTACTCTCACATTTCCTTTCTCTTTTCCTTTCATATATTCTTCTCCTTTCTTTTCTAATTTCTAGAAAACCACTAATGTTTCCCTTTTTAACTAAAAACTCACTATCCCAATTTTTTCTCTCTCTCATTATTCACCTACTCACACATGAACTCCTACTTGTCTTACACTTTTGTTTTCAACCTCCCATTCTCAATGTTTTCACGTAAACACAATCCACACTTCACACTTTTCTTCTTTTTCTCTTCCTTTTCATCATGTACA